GTCACCTCCTCCGCTGCATCGCACTATTTTCCGACACGCGCGGCCCGCCTCTCCCCTGCAAGCCACCTCCCATGCGCTTCCTCCTCTTCACCTCCAAAACGGCGCTCCCTCCTCTCCGAACCCCCTCCCTCAGCCACAGCGACCGCCTCCCCAGCCGCTCCAACTGCAGCCCACCCACGAACCAAAGTGTCGTCGCCGCACCAAAAACGAGCAGCGGAATGCACCGAACACAACCACGCCCTTGTCCTCGTGCTGCAAGCTTCCATTCACGACCCGTCAAACCACCACACACAACCCACCTCGGTTTGGAGGAGGCATCAGCATGAGCAGTTGCGGCGGGGACAAAATGCGCAGCACTTGGTGCACCTACCCGCCACATCGAGGTGCTGTTCCGGGATTTCAACCCGGGACCTCTCGCACCCTAAGCGAGAATCATACCACTAGACTAAACAGCCGACGAATCCCGCAGGTGACCTTCCACAGCGCACCCCCATGCAACCTGCCCTGTCCTCCGCTAGTCACCTCCTCCGCTGCATCGCACTATTTTCCGACACGCGCGGCCCGCCTCTCCCCTGCAAGCCACCTCCCATGCGCTTCCTCCTCTTCACCTCCAAAACGGCGCTCCCTCCTCTCCGAACCCCCTCCCTCAGCCACAGCGACCGCCTCCCCAGCCGCTCCAACTGCAGCCCACCCACAAACCAAAGTGTCATCGCCGCACCAAAAACGAGCAGCGGAATGCACCGAACACAACCACGCCCTTGTCCTCGTGCTGCAAGCTTCCATTCACGACCCGTCAAACCACCACACACAACCCACCTCGGTTTGGAGGAGGCATCAGCATGAGCAGTTGCGGCGGGGACAAAATGCGCAGCACTTGGTGCACCCACCCGCCACGTCGAGGTGCTGTTCCGGGATTTCAACCCGGGAACTCTCGCACCCTAAGCGAGAATCATACCACTAGACTAAACAGCCGACAAATCCCGCAGGTGACCTTCCACAGCGCACCCCCACGCAACCTGCCCTGTCCTCCGCTAGTCACCTCCTCCGCTGCATCGCACTATTTTCCGACACGCGCGGCCCGCCTCTCCCCTGCAAGCCACCTCCCATGCGCTTCCTCCTCTTCACCTCCAAAACGGCGCTCCCTCCTCTCCGAACCCCCTCCCTCAGCCACAGCGACCGCCTCCCCAGCCGCTCCAACTGCAGCCCACCCACGAACCAAAGTGTCGTCGCCGCACCAACAACGAGCAGCGGAATGCACCGAACACAACCACGCCCTTGTCCTCGTGCTGCAAGCTTCCATTCACGACCCGTCAAACCACCACACACAACCCACCTCGGTTTGGAGGAGGCATCAGCATGAGCAGTGCGGCAGGGGACAAAATGCGCAGCAGTTGGTGCACCCATCTGCCACGTCGAGGGGCTGTTCCGGGAATTGAACGCAAGACCTCTCGCACCCTAAGCGAGAATCATACCACTAGACTAAACAGCCGACGAATCCCCGCAGGTGACCTTCCACAGCGCACCCCCACGCAACCTGCCCTGTCCTCCGCTAGTCACCTCCTCCGCTGCATCGCACTACTTTCCGACACGCGCGGCCCGCCTCTCCCCTGCAAGCCACCTCCCATGCGCTTCCTCCTCTTCACCTCCAAAACGGCGCTCCCTCCTCTCCGAACCCCCTCCCTCAGCCACAGCGACCGCCTCCCCAACCGCTCCAACTGCAGCCCACCCACGAACCATAGTGTCGTCGCCGCACCAAAAACGAGCAGCGGAATGCACCGAACACAACCACGCCCTTGTCCTCGTGCTGCAAGCTTCCATTCACGACCCGTCAAACCACCACACACAACCCACCTCGGTTTGGAGGAGGCATCAGCATGAGCAGTTGCGGCGGGGACAAAATGCGCAGCACTTGGTGCATCCATCCGCCACATCGAGGAGCTGGCCCGGGATTTCAACCCGGGAACTCTCGCACCCTAAGCGAGAATCATACCACTAGACTAAACAGCCGACGAATCCCGCAGGTGACCTTCCACAGCGCACCCCCACGCAACCTGCCCTGTCCTCCGCTAGTCACCTCCTCCGCTGCATCGCACTATTTTCCGACACGCGCGGCCCGCCTCTCCCCTGCAAGCCACCTCCCATGCGCTTCCTCCTCTTCACCTCCAAAACGGCGCTCCCTCCTCTCCGAACCCCCTCCCTCAGCCACAGCGACCGCCTCCCCAACCGCTCCAACCGCAGCGCACCCACGAACCATAGTGTCGTCGCCGCACCAAAAACGAGCAGCGGAATGCACCGAACACAACCACGCCCTTGTCCTCGTGCTGCAAGCTTCCATTCACGACCCGTCAAACCACCACACACAACCCACCTCGGTTTGGAGGAGGCATCAGCATGAGCAGTTGCGGCGGGGACAAAATGCGCAGCACTTGGTGCACCCATCCGCCACGTCGAGGGGCTGTTCCGGGAATTCAACCCAAGACCTCTCGCACCCTAAGCGAGAATCATACCACTAGACTAAACAGCCGACGAATCCCGCAGGTGACCTTCCACAGCGCACCCCCACGCAACCTGCCCTGTCCTCCGCTAGTCACCTCCTCCGCTGCATCGCACTACTTTCCGACACGCGCGGCCCACCTCTCCCCTGCAAGCCACCTCCCATGCGCTTCTTCCTCTTCACCTCCAAAACGGCGCTCCCTCCTCTCCGAACCCCCTCCCTCAGCCACAGCGACCGCCTCCCCAGCCGCTCCAACTGCAGCCCACCCACGAACCAAAGTGTCGTCGCGGCACCAAAAACGAGCAGCGGAATGCACCGAACACAACCACGCCCTTGTCCTCGTGCTGCAAGCTTCCATTCACGACCGGCCAAACCACCACACACAACCCACCTCGGTTTGGAGGAGGTAGCAGCATGAGCAGTTGCGGCGGGGACAAAATGCGCAGCACTTGGTGCATCCATCCGCCACATCGAGGAGCTGGCCCGGGATTTCAACCCGGGAACTCTCGCACCCTAAGCGAGAATCATACCACTAGACTAAACAGCCGACGAATCCCGCAGGTGACCTTCCACAGCGCACCCCCACGCAACCTGCCCTGTCCTCCGCTAGTCACCTCCTCCGCTGCATCGCACTATTTTCCGACACGCGCGGCCCGCCTCTCCCCTGCAAGCCACCTCCCATGCGCTTCCTCCTCTTCACCTCCAAAACGGCGCTCCCTCCTCTGCGAACCCCCTCCCTCAGCCACAGCGACCGCCTCCCCAGCCGCTCCAACTGCAGCCCACCCACGAACCAAAGTGTCGTCGCCGCACCAAAAACGAGCAGCGGAATGCACCGAACACAACCACGCCCTTGTCCTCGTGCTGCAAATTTCCATTCACGACCGGCCAAATCACCACACACAACCCACCTCGGTTTGGAGGAGGTAGCAGCATGAGCAGTTGCGGCGGGGACAAAATGCGCAGCAGTTGGTGCACCCATCTGCCACGTCGAGGGGCTGTTCTGGGAATTCAAAACAAGACCTCTCGCACCCTAAGCGAGAATCATACCACTAGACTAAACAGCCGACGAATCCCGCAGGTGACCTTCCACAGCGCACCCCCACGCAACCTGCCCTGTCCCCCGCTAGTCACCTCCTCCGCTGCATCGCACTATTTTCCGACACGCGCGGCCCGCCTCTCCCCTGCAAACCACCTCCCATGCGCTTCCTCCTCTTCACCTCCAAAACGGCGCTCCCTCCTCTGCAAACCCCCTCCCTCAGCCACAGCGACCGCTTCCCCAGCCGCTCCAACTGCAGCCTACCCACGAACCAAAGTGTCATCGCCGCACCAAAAACGAGCAGCGGAATGCACCAAACACAACCACGCCCTTCTCCTCTTCTTGCAAGCCTTCATTCACGACCCGTCAAACCACCACACACAACCCACCTCGGTTTGGAGGAGGCAGCAGCATGAGCAGTTGCGGCGGGGACAAAATGCGCAGCAGTTGGTGCACCCATCCGCCACGTCGAGGGGCTGTTCCGGGAATTGAACCCGGGACCTCTCGCACCCTAAGCGAGAATCATACCACTAGACTAAACAGCCGACGAATCCCGCAGGTGACCTTCCACAGCGCACCCCCACGCAACCTGCCCTGTCCTCCGCTAGTCACCTCCTCCGCTGCATCGCACTATTTTCCGACACGCGCGGCCCGCCTCTCCCCTGCAAGCCATCTCCCATGCGCTTCCTCCTCTTCACCTCCAAAACGGCGCTCCCGCCTCTCCGAACCCCCTCCCTCAGCCACAGCGACCCCCTCCCCAGCCGATCCAACCGCAGCCCACCCACGAACCAAAGTGTCGTCGCCGCACCAAAAACGAGCAGCGGAATGCACCAAACACAACCACGCCCTTGTCCTCATGCTGCAAATTTCCATTCACGACCGGCCAAATCACCACACACAACCCACCTCGGTTTGGAGGAGGCAGCAGCATGAGCAGTTGCGGCGGGGACAAAATGCGCAGCAGTTGGTGCACCCATCCGCCACGTGGAGGGGCTGTTCCGGGATTTCAACCCGGGACCTCTCGCACCCTAAGCGAGAATCATACCACTAGACTAAACAGCGGAGGAATCCCGCAGGTGACGTTCCACAGCGCACCCCCACGCAACCTGCCCTGTCCTCCGCTAGTCACCTCCTCCGCTGCATCGCACTATTTTCCGACACGCGCGGCCCGCCTCTCCCCTGCAAGCCACCTCCCATGCGCTTCCTCCTCTTCACCTCCAAAACGGCGCTCCCTCCTCTCCGAACCCCCTCCCTCAGCCACAGCGACCGCCTCCCCAGCCGCTCCAACTGCAGCCCACCCACGAACCAAAGTGTCGTCGCCGCACCAAAAACGAGCAGCGGAATGCACCGAACACAACCACGCCCTTGTCCTCGTGCTGCAAATTTCCATTCACGACCGGCCAAATCACCACACACAACCCACCTCGGATTGGAGGAGGTAGCAGCATGAGCAGTTGCGGCGGGGACAAAATGCGCAGCAGTTGGTGCACCCATCTGCCACGTCGAGGGGCTGTTCCGGGAATTGAACCCGGGACCTCTCGCACCCTAAGCGAGAATCATACCACTAGACTAAACAGCCGACGAATCCCGCAGGTGACCTTCCACAGCGCACCCCCACGCAACCTGCCCTGTCCTCCGCTAGTCACCTCCTCCGCTGCATCGCACTATTTTCCGACACGCGCGGCCCGCCTCTCCCCTGCAAGCCACCTCCCATGCGCTTCCTCCTCTTCACCTCCAAAACGGCGCTCCCTCCTCTCCGAACCCCCTCCCTCAGCCACAGCGACCGCCTCCCCAGCCGCTCCAACTGCAGCCCACCCGCAAACCAAAGTGTCATCGCCGCACCAAAAACGAGCAGCGGAATGCACCGAACACAACCACGCCCTTGTCCTCGTGCTGCAAGCTTCCATTCACTCCCGGCCAAACCACCACACACAACCCACCTCGGTTTGGAGGAGGCAGGAGCATGAGCAGTTGCGGCGGGGACAAAATGCGCAGCACTTGGTGCACCCATCCGCCACGTCGAGGGGCTGTTCCGGGAATTCAACCCAAGACCTCTCGCACCCTAAGCGAGAATCATACCACTAGACTAAACAGCCGACGAATCCCGCAGGTGACCCTTCACAGCGCACCCCCACGCAACCTGCCCTGTCCTCCGGTAGTCACCTCCTCCGCTGCATCGCAGTATTTTCCGACACGCGCGGCCCGCCTCTCCCCTGCAAGCCACCTCCCATGCGCTTCCTCCTTTTCACCTCCAAAACGGCGCTCCCTCCTCTCCGAATCCCCTCCCTCAGCCACAGCGACCGCCTCCCCAGCCGCTCCAACCGCAGCCCACCCACGAACCAAAGTGTCGTCGCCGCACCAAAAACGAGCAGCGGAATGCACCGAACACAACCACGCCCTTGTCCTCGTGCTGCAAATTTCCATTCACGACCCGTCAAACCACCACACACAACCCACTTCGGTTTGGAGGAGGTAGCAGCATGAGCAGTTGCGGCGGGGACAAAATGCGCAGCACTTGGTGCACCCATCCGCCACGTCGAGGGGCTGTTCCGGGAATTCAACGCAAGACCTCTCGCACCCGAAGCGAGAATCATACCACTAGACTAAACAGCCGACGAATCCCGCAGGTGACCTTCCACAGCGTACCCCCACGCAACCTGCCCTGCCCTCCGCTAGTCACCTCCTCCGCTGCATCGCACTATTTTCCGACACGCGCGGCCCGCCTCTCCCCTGCAAGCCACCTCCCATGCGCTTCCTCCTCTTCACCTCCAAAACGGCGCTCCCTCCTCTCCGAACCCCCTCCCTCAGCCACAGCGACCGCCTCCCCAGCCGCTCCAACTGCAGCCCACCCACGAACCAAAGTGTCGTCGCCGCACCAAAAACGAGCAGCGGAATGCACCGAACACAACCACGCCCTTGTCCTCGTGCTGCAAGCTTCCATTCACGACCGGCCAAACCACCACACACAACCCACCTCGGTTTGGAGGAGGCAGCAGCATGAGCAGTTGCGGCGGGGACAAAATGCGCAGCACTTGGTGCATCCATCCGCCACATCGAATAGCTGGCCCGGGATTTCAACCCGGGAACTCTCGCACCCTAAGCGAGAATCATACCACTAGACTAAACAGCCGACGAATCCCGCAGGTGACCTTCCACAGCGCACCCCCACGCAACCTGCCCTGTCCTCCGCTAGTCACCTCCTCCGCTGCATCGCACTACTTTCCGACACGCGCGGGCCACCTCTCTCCTGCAAGCCACCTCCCATGCGCTTCCTCCGCTTCACCTCCAAAACGGCGCTCCCTCCTCTGCGAACCCCCTCCCTCAGCCACAGCGACCGCCTCCCCAACCGCTCCAACCGCAGCCCACCCACGAACCAAAGTGTCGTCGCCGCACCAAAAACGAGCAGCGGAATGCACCGAACACAACCACGCCCTTGTCCTCGTGCTGCAAATTTCCATTCACGACCGGCCAAATCACCACACACAACCCACCTCGGTTTGGAGAAGGTAGCAGCATGAGCAGTTGCGGCGGGGACAAAATGCGCAGCAGTTGGTGCATCCATCCGCCACATCGAGGAGCTGTCCCGGAAATTCAACCCAAGACCACTCGCACCCTAAGCGAGAATCATACCACTAGACTAAACAGCCGACGAATCCCGCAGGTGACCTTCCACAGCGCACCCCCATGCAACCTGCCCTGTCCTCCGCTAGTCACCTCCTCCGCTGCATCGCACTATTTTCCGACACGCGCGGCCCGCCTCTCCCCTGCAAGCCATCTCCCATGCGCTTCCTCCTCTTCACCTCCAAAACGGCGCTCCCTCCTCTCCGAACCCCCTCCCTCAGCCACAGCGACCGCCTCCCCAGCCGCTCCAACTGCAGCCCACCCACGAACCAAAGTGTCGTCGCCGCACCAAAAACGAGCAGCGGAATGCACCGAACACAACCACGCCCTTCTCCTCTTCTTGCAAGCTTCCATTCACGACCGGCCAAACCACCACACACAACCCACCTCGGTTTGGAGGAGGCAGCAGCATGAGCAGTTGCGGCGGGGACAAAATGCGCAGCACTTGGTGCACCCATCCGCCACGTCGAGGGGCTGTTCCGGGAATTCAACGCAAGACCTCTCGCACCCTAAGCGAGAATCATACCACTAGACTAAACAGCCGACGAATCCCGCAGGTGACCTTCCACAGCGCACCCCCACGCAACCTGCCCTGTCCTCCGCTAGTCACCTCCTCCGCTGCATCGCACTATTTTCCGACACGCGCGGCCCGCCTCTCCCCTGCAAGCCACCTCCCATGCGCTTCCTCCTCTTCACCTCCAAAACGGCGCTCCCTCCTCTCCGAACCCCCTCCCTCAGCCACAGCGACCGCCTCCCCAGCCGCTCCAACTGCAGCCCACCCACGAACCAAAGTGTCGTCGCCGCACCAAAAACGAGCAGCGGAATGCACCGAACACAACCACGCCCTTCTCCTCGTGCTGCAAGCTTCCATTCACGACCGGCCAAAACACCACACACAACCCACCTCGGTTTGGAGGAGGCAGCGGCGTGAGCAGTTGTGGCGGGGACAAAATGCGCAGCACTTGGTGCATCCATCCGCCACATCGAATAGCTGGCCCGGGATTTCAACCCGGGAACTCTCGCACCCTAAGCGAGAATCATACCACTAGACTAAACAGCCGACGAATCCCGCAGGTGACCTTCCACAGCGCACCCCCACGCAACCTGCCCTGTCCTCCGCTAGTCACCTCCTCCGCTGCATCGCACTATTTTCCGACACGCGCGGCCCGCCTCTCCCCTGCAAGCCACCTCCCATGCGCTTCTTCCTCTTCACCTCCAAAACGGCGCTCCCTCCTCTCCGAACCCCCTCCCTCAGCCACAGCGACCGCCTCCCCAGCCGCTCCAACCGCAGCCCACCCACGAACCAAAGTGTCGTCGCCGCACCAAAAGCGAGCAGCGGAATGCACCGAACACAACCACGCCCTTGTCCTCGTGCTGCAAATTTCCATTCACGACCGGCCAAATCACCACACACAACCCACCTCGGTTTGGAGGAGGCAGCGGCATGAGCAGTTGCGGCGGGGACAAAATGCGCAGCAGTTGGTGCACCCATCCGCCACGTCGAGGGGCTGTTCCGGGAATTCAAAACAAGACCTCTCGCACCCTAAGCGAGAATCATACCACTAGACTAAGCAGCCGACGAATCCCGCAGGTGACCTTCCACAGCGCACCCCCATGCAACCTGCCCTGTCCTCCGCTAGTCACCTCCTCCGCTGCATCGCACTATTTTCCGACACGCGCGGCCCACCTCTCCCCTGCAAACCACCTCCCATGCGCTTCTTCCTCTTCACCTCCAAAACGGCGCTCCCTCCTCTCCGAACCCCCTCCCTCAGCCACAGCGACCGCCTCCCCAGCCGCTCCAACCGCAGCCCACCCACGAACCAAAGTGTCGTCGCCGCACCAAAAACGAGCAGCGGAATGCACCGAACACAACCACGCCCTTGTCCTCGTGCTGCAAATTTCCATTCACGACCGGCCAAATCACCACACACAACCCACCTCGGTTTGGAGGAGGTAGCAGCATGAGCAGTTGCGGCGGGGACAAAATGCGCAGCAGTTGGTGCACCCATCTGCCACGTCGAGGGGCTGTTCCGGGAATTGAACCCGGGACCTCACGCACCCTAAGCGAGAATCATACCACTAGACTAAACAGCCGACGAATCCCGCAGGTGACTTCCACAGCGCACCCCCATGCAACCTGCCCTGTCCTCCGCTAGTCACCTCCTCCGCTGCATCGCACTATTTTCCGACACGCGCGGCCCACCTCTCCCCTGCAAA